ATTTTAATTAGGGTTTGTAGGAAAAAAAAATCAAAATATTTTTAAATTTTAATTTGGGTTTGTAGGAAAAAAGTCAAAATATTTTTAATTTGGGTTCAAAGGAAAAAAAATTAAAATATTTTTAATTTTAATTTGGGTTTGTAGGAAAAAAATCAAAATATTTTTAATTTTAATTATGGTTTGTAGGAAAAAAAAAATCAAAATATTTTAAATTTTAATTAGGGTTTGCATTAAAAAAATCGGGATTATCAAAAAATATTTTTAATTGCAGTTTGTAGGAAAAAAAAAATTGAGATTTTGGAAAAATATTTTTAATTTTCATTTTGGTTTATAGGGGAAAATTTAGGCCCAAAAATTCAATATATTATGGGAAAAATTCTATTTTTACCCCAAAAAATCCATTCTATTATGGGAAAAAAAACTTTTTAACCCCAAAAATTCAATATATTATGGGAAAAAATCCATTTTAATAAAAAAATTCAATGTATTATGGCAAAAAACCCATTTTAACCCCCAAAAATTCAATATATTATGGAAAAAAAACATTTTAATTTAAAAAAATTCAATATATTTTGTGAAAAAAACCCATTTTAACCCCAAAAATTCAATATATTTTGGAAAAAAAAACATTTTTACCTGAAAAAATTCAATATATTTTGTGAAAAAACCCCATTTTAACCCCAAAAATTCAATATATTATGGGAAAAAAACATTTTTACCTGAAAAAATTCAATATATTTTGGAAAAAATGCCATTTTAACACCAAAAAATTCAATATATTATGGGAAAAAAATCCATTTTAATAAAAAAAATTCAATATATTTTGGGAAAAAAACCCATTTTAACCCCAAAAAATTCAAAATATTATGGGAAAAAATCCATTTTAATAAAAAAAAATCAATATATTATGGGAAAAAAAACATTTTTACCTGAAAAAATTCAATATATTATGGAAAAAAATGCCATTTTAACACCAAAAAATTCAATATATTATGGGAAAAAATCCATTTTAATTTAAAAAAATTGAATATATTTTGTGAAAAAACCCCATTTTAACCCCCAAAAATTCCAAATTTTTTTCCCAACCCCCATCCTGGCCGTATTTTTATATTTTTAATTTTTTTTCCCCAGGTTTCCAACTGGTTTGGGAACAAACGCATTCGATACAAGAAGAACACGGGGAAATTCCAGGAGGAGGCCAAAGTTTACAGCACCAGGGGCTGCCCCTGCCCTGCCCAGCAGGGTCAGAAATCCTCAATTAATTAAA